CCCCCCCCCAAGAAATTGGTGTTCCTGAAGATGCCTCTTCTGGGGATGGGTGGGGAAATGAGGAACTCAAAACAAAAAACAGTAAACCAATTCCCGTATTTAAAAGTTCTAAGTCTTCCTTGGTTATTTTCACACGCTTCATTAAAAGTCGATGCCGACAACCGTTGGTTTCTTAATCTTTTTGGAAGAGCACGATGGGAGAGAGGGAGAGGCGGGAGGCGGGGCACTAAGGAGACCGCCGTCCCTTCTTCAGCATGAGGTGGCACTGGATGGTCTGGATCCGGTTCTTGGCAGGGGCAAATTCAGGCTGCAGCTTCAAGGTTGACTCGTACCACACCAGGGCTTGCTCAAACTCCTCCTGTGGGGGGTGACAAGGGACACATGTGAGCGGGATGACACCACATGAGTGCACAGGCAAGGAGACTTCCCAAAGTTCATGGAAAATGGAATTAGATTTTTTTTTTTTATTAACGCTTCATGTCTCAGCGTAAGCTCCATGACGGCCAAGACACTTTTATAAGTGATGATAGCAGCCACTCCGATCACCCCTAAAGAACTGAGCGTCTTAGAAACTTAACAATATTCAGTGGAGTCTTTTTTAACATTGTTAAAAGAAGGAAAAATGGCACCCCTTTTCCTTTATATATACGTGTGTGTGTAAGATTTGGAAACAAAACAAAGTCAGAAGAAGCCAAGTTAGGACCATAAGGCAGATGCCTTGTGACTCCCCATCTGCAATGCTCATAAACTGTCCTTCTCTGGTGCGCGTTGTGAGCAGGACACTGGCATCGTGGAGGATGTCTCCCTGGGGAAGCTTTCCTGGCCATTTTTCTGCTTAAGCTTTGACTAACTTTCCGAAGGAGATGTTCTCATTCCATAAAATCAACAAGCCTCAAGCACACCCAAAAACGATGGTCCTGACTCATCTTTGTGCCTGATGGCTCTGGCTCTGGCTGGACCACTTCCACTGCTTGGTGGACATTGCTTCGATCGTGCTTCGTCTTCAGGACCGCACTGGTAAAGCCATCTTTCATCCTGCTACAATGCTCCCAAGAATGTTTCGCGATCTCAATCCCAATTCCTTAATATCTCCTTTGAAAGCGCTGCTCTTTTCTGCAATTGATCAAACCGCAATGGTTCTGTCACCCATTGAGTGGAACGCTTACTCTAATTTTTGTTAGGTGTGTGCAAACGGAAACAGTTGAGATGTCTACAATGGTGGCTATTGTTTCTGCGGTCAATCGTTGGCCTTCTTCACTCAGAGAACAATTAGATGGTTTCCTTGTAAACTCCTGTGGATGGTTTCTCGCTGTGGGGCCTCATCTTCAATATTTTCTCATCCCTTCTTACAAAGAGCTACATCTGTGAGCTGCTGCTTTCCTTGGGACAGCAGGCTTCAACCTGAGTGCGTGCTTTGCTCTGGCTCCAATGGCAGCAGCGTGTATTGATAGGATCTCAACCTCTGACTCACTGTCATCTGGCGGATTCAGACTCACAGGACAGCGTGGAGCTGCTCCGGGGGTGCAGAGACTGTACCTCTCGAGGGGAGTAGACAGCTTTGTCTTTCTCCCTTGCAGTGGCTGCTGGTTTCAAACTGCTGATCTTGCGATTTGCAGCCCAACACGTAGTCACTGCCACAGATGTTTCATTCCTCTGACATACACGTTGGTATATTGTGGTGCAAACTTCTTTTGGAAAAATCCATGCGGCTTTTTCCTAAGACATATTTCCCACGAACTTTTTGAAGATGGCTCCTCATAGACTGTGACCTCTTATTTCTTGACAAGCAGCTCAGCCCCAAAAGCCAGTGACCGTTCCGCAGCCTTTCCCGGGTCTGAGCGCCACTCTGCGGTTGGGGCAAGGATGAAGGAAGAGACTTTACCCCAGAGAAAAGAGAAGGTCATGGGCAGAGCTGAAGAACCCGGGAGAGGCATCGGTGCAGCTGTGCACAAAGGTGGCCCACACCAGGAAGGCTCATGGTCGCAGTGAACACGCACGGAGGCTACGGAGATCCTCCTATGTGCCAGGCTCATTGTCAGGTGCGTGACTCGACAGTTTGCTGAACCCTGACAGATTCTATTGAACTTCTAGCCCCAGGCCTGACAATCTCGTGACACAGCAGCCTACATTTTCTACCGTTGCTGGCTGGATGGGAGTGACTTGTAAATTTGAAAAGTTTTTTTTTACTCCAACCGTTTTATTGACGTGTAATTTATACAATTCAGTGATTTAAAGATACTGGAAATAGTGGTGCAATCAAGACAACAATCGATTTTAGATCATTTTCTTTTTTCTTGTATCCAGTATTATTAGCTCATTTCCCCTCAACCTTCCCTGTCATAAGGCTGAGCAGCGATTAATCTAGTTACTGTCTCTATAGATTTACCCATCCTGGATCTCATATACAGAAATTCATACATACAAAAACGTCCTACAACAACAAGATAAAATATAGAAAAAGCTCAATCCAAAAGGAAGCAGAAAATAATTAAAAAAACAAAACTAGGGCATGTTAAGGGAAAATTCTGGAAGCTTAAAAAAAATTCTTCTTAGCCTACTAAATAGAATACTGAAGCTGTCAAGGGTTTGGTTTACATGGGTCCACACTCAGCATCCATAGAAGCGTGAGCCAAGAAACCAGAGAGCCGTTATTACACTGGACAAACCTGATGACGAAGCCCTCCTTCAGGTGTGCAGGCAAAGATGGTACTTGGAGGACTATGGTGACCCACGTCGTGGTCTTTTCATTTGCTGCACGTGCCATGAAAGCTGGACAGCACGGAAGACCATAGAAGAACGGATGCCTCTACATGCTCACGGGGGTGGAGAAGATTAGATGCAGCCTGGCTGCGAGAAGAATGAGCAAATCAGTCTTTGAAGAAGCACAGCCAGCGGCTCCTGGGAAGCACGATGGTGAGACTGCATCTCATACACTTTGAACACGTTCCTAGGAGGAACCCGCCCTGGAGAAGGACGTCATGCTTGGTAAGATACAGTGTCAGGGAAAAAGAGGAAGGCTCCTAGCAAGATCAACTGACACAATGGTTGTGACAATGGGCGGAAACACAGCCTATTATGGGGCTGGGCAGTGTTTTGTTCTGTTGTACACAAGGTCACCGGGAGTCGGAGCCGACGTGATGGCCCTAACAACAAGAAAAAGCATGTAAACAGATCCGCATGATTTGGGAAGGACGATGGCCATTTTGCAGGTTTTCACCTTTGAGTTGAGGCTGAGACTCAAGTGAGATCCAAAACCAGCCAAAGGAGACAGAATTTCTTCTACAGCAGTGGAGCTCACGCTTGTGGGGATCGGAAATAGGCGATCCATTTTAAGAAACAAGGAGGGAAAGCTGCACCTGTGGCAATCCTCACCCGCCAGGGTGTCCCTTCTGCTTCTAAGTCAAAGATGACGTTTATAGCCCAGGGCCCCATTTTATGAACTTTCATTGAGAGTTGCAGCGGCCCACACGCGACACCAAGTGGACGGCATGACTCTTGGTTAAAATTGGCTGTGACAGCTTCTGGTGACCCTGAAAGCAGTTCTTACTTCTGACCAGAGGAGCGTTCACGGCGACGGATGGCTTTGCCGTCGTCCTCTGTAAATGGTATCCCATCAAAGCGGTGGCCTGCCCTCACTCACTGACTATCTGGTGAGCACCTGCTGTGTGCCAACCACTGTGTGAAGGCCAACCACTCGCTTCCATATCTAAACGCAGAGATGAATTCTTAAACAGAAAATTATAAGGCAAGGTGACAATGGATGGAGAGAACCATGCACAGGGCATCAGGGGCACCTTGCCCCATCTGGGAGCAGGAGAGTACGGCTGTGTGCTTGTCGCTGTGGAGCGTGGACTCAGGTCTCTGGACTGGGTGAGTCTCCAGAACATGGGGAATCTGACTCCACTCAGTGTCACAGTCATGGGCAGGAACGGCACGCTATAAATACTGACAGTTTTCATTGTACTTTTCCCCCTTTTCTTCCCTCCCCTCTCCCCCACCCTGCCACCCCTTTCCCCACAGCCACTCATGTATCATTACTTTAACAAAACCCTTAACTAGAAAATATACTCTTGGCAGAGTTAGCGATTTTAGCATAAAATTTCCAAGGCACTGAGGGGAACTGATATCTTTATAGCAGGTTTGAAGTCAAGGAAGATGTGTCATGGAGAGAAATGTGCCTAATGGCCGGCTCTGCTCATCGCCCCCCAGTCTCACCATTGCTACATAGACATTGCCCAGTGTGAAGTGGTTCACGGCAAAGTGCGGCGCAATTTCCACTGCCATGGTGGCTACAATGACGGCATCGTTCCAGAGCTTGGCGTTGTGCAAGATGTTGGCCAGGCTAATCAGGGGCACGTCCTGCGGGAGGGAAGGAGAACGGAGAGATTAGAGATGCTCTGAGTTGCCACTGTTGGCTTTTGTGATCATAAAGAACACAGCAGCTGCTTCCTGTGAAATCCTATGTTGGCGAACCTCAAAGTCGCTGTCTAGACAAGGAACGTGTGCCAGGGCAGAAGCCAATGCACGGGGTCTTTTGTCAAGTAAGTCTTTGCTCAAAAAATAAAGTGAAAAAACACTGGTGGTAGTAAGCAAACCAAGCGCTTGAGTGAAGGAGGTGCCAAACATTCGCGGGCAGACAGCGCATCTCACTGAAGACTGGCCTAAGTAGTTTGAGGACCAACACCTGCCCACAGACTCATGTTGAGGCACACAATGGCGGGACTTCGGCAGGGGCACCGCTTACCTAGAGCAGTCATCAAACTATGACTCAAGGGCTAAGCCTCGTTCACTGGAACACAGCCATGTCTATTCTTTTCCCTAAGGTCTGTGGCTGCTTTTGTGCTACACCAGAGAGCCCCTGGCCAGGAGAAGATCAAGTTTGCCAACTCCTGGTCTAGAGAGTCGCTGGCTTCCTCTCTATCCCCTCACAGCATGGAGCCCAGAATGATGACCGAAGAAGTGGCAACCTCCTCCTCCTCCTCCAAAATATGTATTTCCTTTAAATGCATTATTCAAGTGTCTGCTGTCCACTTCACTCTCCACTAGGTCTCCAGGCAACAGAGATGACGCCATCCTCACGTTGGATGCTTACGCTGGAGCCCACCTGTGATAGGTCACTGTGTTATCACATCTCAACAAGGGCCTTCCTTCATCTTCTTTGCTGTTCCTTCACTTTACCAAGCAATGTGCTTCGCCAGGGGCTGGTTTCTCCTGACAACATGTCCAAAGTCACTGAGATGAAGCCATGCCATGCTTGTTTCTAAGGAGCAGTCTGGCTGTACTTCTTCCAAGACAGAGCTGTTTGCTGTTTGCCAGTTCACTGACTTTCAATATTGTTCACCAACACCTTATTTCAATGCACCAACTTTTCATGGGTCTTCCTTATTTAAAGTCCAACTTTCATAGCTGGGGCTAGCCATATCTTAGTCCTCGAAGTAACATCTTTGCTTTCCAACACTTTAAAGAAGTCTTGGGCAGATTTACCCAGCACAATGCATCCTTGAGTCTCTGGACTGCTGCTTCCAGGAGCACTGGTTGTCGATTCAAGCAAGACAAAAATCCTGGACAACTTCAATCTTGTCTCCATTTATTATGATGTTACCTATTCGTCCCGTTGTGAGAATTCTGATCTTTTTTTACATTGAGTTGTCATCTACACTGAAGGCTGAAATCCTTGATCTTCATCAGCAAGGGCTTCAAGTCCTCCTTATTTTCGGCAAGCAAGATTGTGTTATTTGCATCTCACAGGTTGTTAACAAGCCTTTCTCCAATCTTGATAGTGCTTTCTTCATAGAATCGAGTTTTTCACATTATTTATTCAGCATACAAATTGAGTTAGTGAAAGGATTCAACCCTGACACACACCTTTCCTGATTTTAATTCCCTTGTTCTGTATACACAGCTGCCTCTTGATCCATGTACAGGTTCTACATGAGCACAATGAAATGTTCTGCAGTTCCCATTCTGCTCAAGGATGTTCCTACTTTGTTATGATCCACACAGCTGAATGCCTTTGCATAGTCAATGAGACACAAGTAACCTTCTTTCTGGTATTCTCTGCTTTGAGCCAAGATCCACCTGATATAAGCAATGATATCCCTTGTTCCACGTCCTCTTTTGAATCTGGCCTGAACCTCCAGCAGCTCCCTGTCAATGTACTGCTACAACAGTGTTGGATGATCTTCAGCAACATTTTAGTTGTAGGGGATAGCAATGATATTCTATTGGGCCACTTTTATTTGGAATGGGTACACATAAGCATGTCTTCTAGGCAGTTGGCCAAGTCGTTGTCTTCGACATCTCCTGCCATAGAAGAGTAAGTGCTTCCGATGCTTCATCAGCTTGTTAAGACATTTCAGTTGGTAGTTCATTGATTCCTGGAGCCTTGTTTTTTGTTAAATGTTCAGTGTTGCTTGGACTTCTTCCTTCAGTATCACTGGTTCTTGCTTATATGCTACCCCTTTAAATGGTCAAATGTCGACTAGTTCTTCTGGCACAGGGATCTGTATTCTTTCCGTCTCCTCTTTGATGCTTCCTAGATTATTTAGTATTTTGATATTGCAACTCAAGGCTTGAAATTTTCCTTTAATTCTTTCAGTGTAAGATATGCTGAGAATGTTCTTTTGGTTTTCTAACTCCAGGTCTTTGAACATTTTATTATTTTACTTTGCCTTCTTTAACTGCCCTTTAAAATTTTGTTCAGTTCTTTGACTTCAAAATTTCTTCCATTTGCCTTAGGTACACTACAACTAAGAGTATGTTTCAAAGTCTCTTCTGATACTCACTGATCTTTTCTTTCCTTTTAATGACCCTTTGCTTTCATGTCTGATGTTCTTGATGTCATCCATCACTCATCAGGTCTTCTGTCAATTGAGTTCAATGCATCATATTTGTTCTTGAAATGTTCTCAAATCTCAGGTGGAATTTTGAGGTAGTATTTTGGCTCTCGAGGACTTACTTTAATTTTCTTCAGTTTCAACCTGGAGCTAGATAGGAGCAATTGATGGTCTGTTCCTCAGTCAGCCCCCGGCCTGGTGTTAGCCGCTGATGTCATCATCTCTTCCCACAGATAGCGTCTCCATCATCTCTTCCCACAGATAGAGGCAATTTGATTTTTGTGTACTGCATCTGGAGAAGGCCACATGGATAGTCACCATTTGTGTTGTTCAAAAAGACATTTGCCATGTAGAAGTTGCTGGTTTTACCAAATTCTATCATATGATCTCCAGCTTCATTTCTATCACCAAGATCGTATTTTTCAACTACAGTTCCTTCCTCTTTGTTTCCAGCCTTTGCATTCCAATCACCAATAATTACCCATGCATCTTGATTTCAGGTTTCATCAATTTTAGGCTGAAGACGTTGGTAGAATTGTTCAAATGCTTCCTCACTAGCTTTTGTGGTTGGTGCATAAATTTGAATAAAAGTCGTATTGTTTAGATCCTTGTATACAAGTATGTATTATCCCATCAGAGAGAGCATTCTACTTCAAGAAAGGGTAGACCTTGAAATGCCCTTTCTGATGATGAAAGCAACCCCATTTCTCTCGACTGCGCCATCCCCGCACAGTGATCCAAATGGTCTTCTGATTCAAAGTGACCCATACCGTCCGTGTCAGCTCACACATGCTTAGGACATCATCCTTGTGCCTTCCACTTCATTTGTAACAACTTCTAATTTTTCCAGATTCATACCTGGTACAGTCCAAGTTCCAATTATTGATTGACGTTTGCAGCTCATTTTGAGCCCCGCCCCATCAGCAAACGGAGGTCTCCCTCAGGCTTCATTTGGTCCCTACCAACAGGAGCCACTCTACTCTGAGGAGGCAGCTCTTCCTCGGTCCCATGTGGAGCACCTTCTGACTGGAGGGCTCATCTTCTGGGGCCATCCCTGACAAGGTTCTGCGTCTATTCGCTAGGTTTTCGGTAACTGACAATGTTTAGATGCTATACGTAGGATTTTCAGTGACCAGTTACTTTGAAGTGGACAAACTATTCCTTCTTCATAGTCTGTTATAAGTCTGGAGGCTCTGAAGAAACGTGTTTACTTTGGGTGACCCTGCTGGTAACTGAAGTATCAGTGACAGCGTGTTCACACAAGCCACCAAATATGACAGGCAGACAAGCAGTGGGAGCAATGATTCGAACTCTGAGTTCCTTCCACTGTGCCAGGGTCGCCTGTATAAACATAGAAGGCAGTGGCTGTGCCTTTTAGAACATGGTCTGCAAGGCTGTCAAACCCAGCACATGTAGATATAAAGGGCTGTTAAAAATTGCACATTCTTAGCCAACCTAACTTTTGGGGAAAAACGCATGATATGGTGTTAGCCAAGTGTTATTTTCTTTCTCTTCCCCCCAATCTTTCCCCCTTCTCTCTCGTTCTTTATTTTGCGGAAAAGGCAGAGTCCGACAAAGATTAAGCATTGGTCAATGTTGAAGAAATAGAAATTTACTTTCTGATCTGTGTCTGTCCCTGGAAACAAGCTCAAGTCAGGGGTATAAGCCAAATAAGGATAATATGCCTCTATGCCCTTGAGGATAAGCTACATCCAGAATGACCTCGGGGAGATGGTTAGCGTGGGTCAGTGTATGTGTTGTGCACTACATGGCTCTGGGGAGGAAGAGGAGGCTTTCTACTCCTGTAAATATTACTCGAATTAACTCCATGGTAGGGAGTTCAAATGAGAGGTAGCTGTGAATATAGAGGAAGGGGTGTGAAATGATGTAATGTCAGACAACGATCTTGAAGGCCTTCCCTCAAGTTCCAACACATTGAGGTTGGGACGACACAGTGGTGGATTCAAGTTCAGGCTTGTTGCCTTTTAGCCCTACCTTACAGCTGGGTGTGAGGAAGGCTAGTTAAAATCCCAAGATAAACCACTGGGTAATGAAAAGGATCACGGGCCAGAAATTAAGCCCCTCTGAGTCACACCTACCTTCATTTGGTGTGGTGCGTAGTGGAGAGCCTGGCGGAGGCAGTCAATTGCCTTCTTCCCTTGTCCTTTCACTCGCCAGTAGAGGGCCGCCATGCTGGAAAGCACCCAAGAGGTCTGGTTCTATGGAGGAAAATGGGCGATGCCGTTGTTAACACATGGCATACTCACAGGAAGGAGAGCATTCATAACTAGAGCCACTATCATTTCTCAGGGTGTATGCTAGATGCCAGCACTCTGTTCATCCTCTTACCGACTCTCATAAAGCCCCTAGGCACTTGCTCCTACCATTATAGCCTTTATTAGAGGAGCAAACAATTCAGAGCAGTTAACTATCTTGCCCAATGCCACTGAATTCCCAAATGGCAGGAGTAACACTTGATGTACATGGTTTTGTTTTTTTTAAATTGAAATGGAGGCAACTTTTTGAGCAGGCATTTGTTTCAAGAACCAGAACGTAGAGCCAGTTATACAGTCCCCACTCTCCATCCTCGTGTCCCATGTAAACACTATTTTGAGTTTCTTATATATCCTTCTTGCATGTCTTTGCGATACACAGGCCAGTATGAGTACACAGTTTGGCCCCACCCCTGCTTATACGACATGACCCGTTATTATTTCGCTAAGCAGGAACATCTGCACTTGGTTTTTCACTGAATGAGATACTCTGGAGTTCTTCCTACATCAGTGTATAAACAACTTTCTCATTTTTTTTCACGGCTGCGCACGTTTGCATTATGCTATCGATGAATACTTCTCCCCACCCCTACCAAATTTTAGTCACAAAGGATGCTGTAAAAACTTTTGCGTTAAGTATGCATGTGTGTCCAAGTGTTTGCAGCACATGGTTCTAGATATGGCCTTGCTACGAGGGTTATGTCCTTGTTACTTGCCAGACAGCGTCACTTTATCCACCGTAGGCATGTTTCAGGAAACCAATGGTCTACTAGCTGCACCTCACACAACTGTGCCTTGGCTTTGTGAACATTTTTCACTGGTCAATGAGAACTTAAGTAGCCAGATTTTAATCTCTTGAATTCATGCAAAAAATTCTTTTCAGTATTAGGGAGGATTACTAATCTCTGTCATAGTAGTTGAAGGAATGTCCTTGTTGGTCGTATCATTTTTTAATGTGGTTTTTGGGGAATGTAGATGGCAAGTTCGATTCTCGTTGAACAGTTTCTACACCTGTTGGCGGTGACGTTGGCTGTTCTCCCCGTTTATCACTTTGCTGCTGGTTGTTCCGTTTCCAGAGCTCTAGCTTCCTGTCTCCCCTGCCCTTCTTGCTCATCTTTGGTCTCAGGCAGGGGTTGGCAAGCCTTTGAGATGCAAGAGTCATTCCTGCCCCTCACACCCATTTCACAATTATTTGAGAGCCATATAGATTTACAAACAAATGAAATCACCATTATCTGAATATCCTTTACATTTTTTCCCATTTTACTCCAGAGCCACAGGTTGCCGCCCTCTGGTCCAGAGTAAAGGGTGACCGCTAGGTCTCATCTAGATGACTGTTCAGAGAAACACACTATTCACGGGGGAGATTTATGAGTAACTGTCTTTCAGCTGGATGTGCCCCCCAGGAGTGGTTTTGAATTCCAAGCTGCCAGTCTGACAGTCTCAGGAGGTTCCTCTGCTTTGTACCTGTCCACTCAGTTTGGCCTTTTTAAGAAATTTGAGTTTGGCTCTTTATTTCCTCCCTCACACCCATTCTATCGGGGACCATCTGTTGCCTCCTTGGTTGGGACAGTCGGCAGTGGTAGCGAGGCATCATCTGTTTCTTCGGGTCTCAAGATGGGTGAGGCTGTGGTTTGAGTAGACTCTCTGTCACGCAGACCAACTTCCGTCCTTGGTTTTTGTTTTTCACTCCAGATCCAGACACTACTCAGCAAATTAGGGTGTAGAACATTAAGACTATGTTCATTGATTGGAGGTACCCTGGAAAGCTCCAATATAGGATTTTAGTAATTTAATCTCCCTCAGAAATACAGTAGTCCTTGTTTCCTTATAGCTGTACCCTAGAGTATGTTATTACTCTTAGACTTTTGTCAATCTGATACTGAAATGTGGTTTAAATGGGCATTTCCCTTATAAGTACAGCTTACTTACTTCCCTTCTATGACGTGCCTATATTATATTTTGTTTGATTTGTAATAGGGTTTTCTTTTTTTGGGTTTTCTCTTATTTGAAAAAGCTCCTGGTTTATTAGGGGAATTAGTCTCGTCTGTGGCATGGGTTACAGATACCTCTCCCAACCTTAAGTCTGCCTTTGGACTATGGTGCTACATGTGATTTGATAGGATTTGACTACTACACAGTCCAATTTAATACTTTCTGGAGTTCCAGTTGTAATTAGAAAGGCCTTCTTCACTCCAAGGTTATCAAAGAATGCGCCCTTGTCTTTTTGCAGAACTTTTAAAATACTTTTCACCATAAAATCTTGGCTCCATCTGAAAACTTAACCTGGTGTAAAGTAAAAGATAGGAATCCAACGTTCTTTTTCCAGATGGCTACTCACTTCAGTAATGCTTAATGAATAACTCAACTTTCTCCTGGAGGCACTACTTTTACATATATACATTTTTGGAAATTAGTCCAATTGTGGACTTTCCTTATCTATTTCATCTGCCACTTGATTAATGAGTCTCTGACTCCCAGTCATTACACATAAGGCAATCTGCTTCCACCTTCCTTCTTTCCTCCTAATTTTTTTTTTGTTGTTGCTAATTTGATCAATTCTACAATATCAGGGCACATTGTATTCTGACCTGTTGTCCTTACCCCTGCCTTTGCTTTAGCATTAGCTTTGGAGTTAATCTATTCAGAACCACTGATGTCTCTTTTGTATGGTTTCTCAAGCATCTCCTGGTTGGCTCAAGTAGGGCTCCTGGGAACAGGGTACTTTCAGAAGAAATATGCTCAAAATGGTATGTCTGCTGCCTTCATACCTGAAGGACAGCTTGGATGGATATAAAGCTATGGTCATTCTTTTATTTCCTGAATAATTTGTACCACTCCTCCAACTCTTGGCCTAGAAAGCTGTGGTAGAGAGTCTGAAGGTGACAGATAAGCTCCCCACTTTTGAGTCCTGAGATTGGCTTCCCTAAATAATTAATTCCTTTCACTCTTGTAAAATTGTCTTTATCTAAGGAACTTTGATGTACAAACGGTAATGCACTTAGCGCCCATAGGAAGGCTGAAACCCACCACAGCTCTGTGGGAGAGACACGGGTACCTGCTCCTGTCGAGAGTGCAGCCCAGAGAACCCTAGGGGACACGAGCCACGAGGGGACATCGACTCGATGGCACCTGACAACAAAAAGATGGCCATTTCTCCCTGGCATCTCTTTCTGGTGGACTGCACCTTCCTTGGCCATCCTGTAGTCATCCTCTGTTTGTATTAGTTTTGTACATTTTGAAATACTTCTTCTCAGGTGAGTCGCCCATTTCCTCTTGGTTTCTGGTACTCTCTCGCCTCCTCCTGTGCTTTAGGTATATTAACAACATGTCGGTTTAGAATATCCAAGGTGACCCTCTTTGGACTGTTAAGAGATTGCTTGGAAGTTTGTTCATATTTCTTGGTTTGTTTGTCCCTATTTATGAGTTTCCTTTATTCCTTTTCCCTTCTTTTTTGTCTTTTCTTAACTTTTTTATTGCCCTTCCCTCTTTATTTTGCTTTTCCCTAACAGGTTTGGAATTTAGGTGATCTTTTAATGGTTAGTTTAAAATGTTTGACTTAACATATTTAGCTCAGCAAAGTCTCAAGCTAAACCATATTGTAACTCACTCTTCCAGAAGAGTAAATCTTTGAGCCACTTAATTCTGATCAGCCCACTCTGAAATGTGCACATTTTGTCCAGTTTTTCAGTTTTGTCATTTCTTTTAAAGCCCCACAAGTGACTGTCCCGTCTACAGACAATGCTTGTTTGGGTTCACACACCCATCTAGTCCTGGCATTTGCTCACCGCCTTTTCCATCTTATGATGCGGCATCGACAGAGGTTCCAATAGGGCAGGGCTCTTGGGACAAAGCACTGTTCAGTTCTTTATCTTGAGGAGACTTTATTTTTACTCTTGTTGGGTACACAATTCTAGGGTGTCAGAGGCCTTCTATAGTTGCCACTGAACAAGGCTGTCCTTTGAGCTACTATTCCTCTGTCGCTGACCCATCCTTTCTGTCCGTCCTGGGGGTAGAGATCCTGTCCTATTTACTAAGCCTTTGTTGAGTGAAGTAAGGGATGAAAGGATGTTGTAGCGATAGCTAGGCTACTGTTTCTCCATATTAAGCAATTGGTTTTCTGTAATTAAACTCAGCATTCTGCAACTGCTGTGGTAGGGTTCTGCAAACAAGTGCATTATGGGGCAGTGAGAGGGCAAGGGGGCCTTCCTGTCTCCTACTGACACGATGCTCCGGCCAGTGTCCCAGCATGTGCCTTCAGTGTCGCCGGGTCTCCCCGCACTCTTCAGCAGCATGGCTGTGCGGGTCGTCACAAGCACAAGTTCCAGCTCTCCAATCTCCTCCTGTGAACATCTCGATTCTGGAAACCCCAACTGCTATCTTCACTGCCCCATCCCCACGGGAGGTAGCCACTTCTGCAGTTGTTGCCTCTGGCTTACCTCAGTGTCTCCTTTTCTCTCGCCACTCTCCACCACAATGTAATACATTCTCTTGGTATTACATTAACTCTGCCGACCTACCTAATGGTTGTTTTCCTGACAGAATCTCAAAGGAAACAGATGCTTTTAAGATACCTTCGTCTTCACTATCAAGCAATGTACTATACATAGGTACCCATTTTTATTTATCCAGCTCAAGATACATGGTGCGTGCTTCCGGACTCTGTCATGCCACTTACCCATCTTTTGTTTCTGCAACATTCCAGGTAATTTCTTCCACAAAGCTAGTGATATACTGACTCTATATTCAATGCGTGTCACCTATCTCACTGAGTCAGTACTTGACGTAAAGACTTACATATATATTGTTGTGAGCCATCACACTGATTTTGAGTCAGAGACCCTCTAGGATCGTAGAACTGCCCCACACGTTCCTTGGACTTAATCCTACGGGAGCGGGTTTTCCAGGCCTTTCTTCCTGAGGTGCAGCTGGTGAGTTTGACTGGTTGATATTCTGGTTGGCGAATGGGCGCTTAACCACTGTGCCACCAGGGCTGAATTTTATAGTTTGACATGGGCCAATTTGTTGTGATCTATCTGCTTTTTTCTGATGTGGTCTCTTTAATCATTTCTGTATCTCCTAAAACATTTTTTAATGTAAAATTTCAAATATGTATAGGAATCAGGACTATAATGAACTCTCATGCCCTCATCAGCTTACATCAGTACGTCTCAACTCATGGCCAATCTTGTTTCCCTTCTGTCTCATCCACGTTAACTTACGGAGAGGGGAAAGAATACAGAATTGTCTGTGAACTGCTACAAGAAGGCACACGTCTGTCTTGGAAGAAGTGCGGTGAGAACATTCCTAACAGCTAGGATGTTCAGACTGTGCCTTGTATACTTTGGATATGTTACCAGGAGGGACCAGTCCCTGGAAAAAGACATCGTGGTTGGGAGAGTAGATGGTAAGCCAAAACGAGAGACAGCCGAGATGAGATGGACTGCCGGGTGACTTTAATGACAGACACAGACACAGACACTGTGAGGAGGGTGCCTGGCCGGGCAGTGTGCTGCTGTACACAGGGTTGTGATGGGTGGGGGAGGGGAGGGGGGTGGCGGAGCTGTAACTCAACGGCACCAAACAATGTGACACTTTGAAGCAAAAAGTCCAGGCTTCACTTGCAAATCCTTCATTATGGACTTAAAAAAGAGAAATCAAATTAAAAGAAAAAACCCATAAACTTGATGCCATGCTCTCTGGCAAGACTTTCCTCTGCCTTATCTGTACGTCCCTTCCTCCTCGCCCACCGTGGCCACCATTCAGCAGCTCGTAGGAAGATGGCACCGGTAGACAGCAAAGGCTTTGATGAATCCATCAGGGAACGAGGAGTGCAAACGGCTCTGTGAGAAACGGGTGCAATGGCCGAGCCTGACTGTCATCTCTGCTGATGGCAACGCCCTCCCTGTGAAAACCGAGAGTACTTGGAACACAGCACAGGTTTCTGGAGACCTGAGAGGGACATTTGAAGAAATGAAAGCTGATGGCAGAGCAACTCAGACTGCCTGCAACTTTCCTGACAGTGCGCAGGTCCAACCCCAGGAGAGGGGTGGGGAGGAGAGCACAGTAACAAGAAAAGCGGAAGATGGAAAATCGGTGGTGGAATGAACCGGGTCCCTTGTACTCAGACCTATGGAAAATTAGAATAAAAATTCTATCATCATTTGGACAAGAATTAGCTGTGAGCATAAACAAGTTCAGTCCAATGAGTGAATCTCTATACTGCTTTTTACCCCCGTTATTATATTCCATTACTTCTTTTATTTTTAATGCCATTACTTCTATTACACACATTTTACATGTTTCTATTTCAAAATGTTGATTTCATTAGGATCATCCCTTTGATTAACAAATGTGTTAAAAAAACAAAGCACATTCAATGCAGTATACCTAAAATCTTGAACACTAATAGTATTACTTATTTAGTGTTCATATTTCCCCCACTTGTGATATATTTTATTTTGCTTTTATGGTTTGAATCTTAATCTAAATAGGGTCCATACACTGCAATTCATTGATGTGTACCCTATATCTGAGTTTTAGAGTCTATCATCAAATTTTTTTCTCTACATATTTAATTTTTAGAAGAAATAAAGTTATTTACTTAGTAGTTTTCCACTGAGTGGGTTCTGTCAAGTTATCCTTGAGGTACTATTTAACATGTTCCTTTGTTCCCTGTAGATGCTATAAATTGGTACTTAAATTCAGAGTTTGATTGGATTCCAGTAGAGTGGGGGCAGTCATGTAAGTGAGGATACGAATTTCCAGCAGGGCATACAGCATCCTGGGGTCCTATCTGTGAGGTTAGTAGCCAATGACAATCACTGTCATACATACATCAGGGGTTGCAAAACTAATTCTTTTTATCATTCCAGTTTGTTGGAATATTCCTATAAATAGAAACTTCCTGCCATCAATTCTTTGTTCGCCCTGAAGTATAGCTCATTTAAGGCATGGCAGAGGGTTACTTCTTTGTCATTAGTTGCCAGTAGACTTTACGGAACGAAGTCTTTAGCTCTTAACACTTAACAGTGGTTTCATATTTGTCTTTCTGTGATTGGCTAATTTCACTCAGCGTAATGTTCTCCAGGTCTGCCCATGCCTTCAAGTGTCCCATGGCTTTGTCATTGTTTTTTAGCGACGCGTAATGTTCCGTTGTGTATGTGTACCGCTTTCTCTACCCTGTCTTCTACTGATGGGAACTGAGGTTGTCCCGGTCTTCTTCCTACTGTGAACACTGCTGTGATGAACATGAGTGTGTATGTCTTATTCTTTAGGATATATATATATATTAGCACAAGGATGGCTGGATCATGTAGAATTTCGATTCCCAATTGTTGGAGGTAGTGGCATACTGCTTTCCCCAGGGGTTCCACATAAGGACAGTCCTACCAGCAATATTGTGACCAGTTGCCCGTTGTTTAACAAACAAGTTGGCTCCATACATCTTCCAAAAGGATGCGCTGTATTTTAGCCATTGTAGCTACTGTCCTTCTGGCTCAGTTATCCCACCTTTGACCTGTGGGGCTCATGCATGCTGGTGCTCTCGTTCTTGTCCCAGTCCTACAGTAGCAGTTCCGCAGTTCCCGGGCTTTCCCAGTGTAGAAGCCGTTCCTCCAAGGTGTCCTGCCTCCTTTTAGGAGAATGACATCTAGAGATCACAATCTGGGCTCTAAGAGTGCTTATTAATATAGTACTGAGCTTTCCAACTCACAACTACAAGATGCTCTTCCACTGCAATCATCTTCCACCTGTGCCCCCAAATTCTAGTTCTCAACACCAGCACCTTAACTCATTTGGTTTACTTCCCAATAAAGTTTCAGAAGAACAGCCTTTATTACAAACAACAGTACAAAGGGGGTTCAAAAAGTTCATGAAAAAAATTGCACGATTTAATTTCTACTTTTCTATGAACTTGTGGAAGCCCACTTATATAACTGAAAATAGTAATAGGTTTTCTTTTGATCTTAAGGCAAATCTCATGACTGATATAATCGTTACCTAACTTTTTACACCATGGAGAAAAACTGTTCTTAATGTAGTTGTTTCAACAATTGAATACATAGGCTCATCTAATTCAGAATTGCTTTATTAAAATTATTCCAAATATTTGGCTCTAAAGTAAAATGAAAAACAAAGCTAAACATTAAGATTTAGTCTTCACAAATGGGTGCATAAGCAAATGTGGCAAAGAAAGCTGATGGTCCTGGCTATCAAAAGATATAGAGTCTGGGGTCTTAAAGGCTTGAAGGTAAACAAGTGGCCATCTAGCTCAGAAGCAACAAAGCCCACATGAAGAAACACACCAGCCTGTGTTCTGATAACCTGGCACTCTTTGATACTCACCT